AAAAAGGAGCACATTTTCAGCTCTTGAGGCAGCAAAAGATGGTGTTCCTGTTCAGAAACCGGCTCGATGGAGGAAGAAGGTCGCCGATGGAAAATTTGAGGTAAAGCATCTGTTCTAAACCGTCACTGATGAAAAAATTGGAGTGAAAATCAGTTTAGCCACATGAATTTCCGAAAAATTGCCATGAATGCTCGCAAAAATTACCATACCGCATAATCAACTGGACCTTGGGCCGATTTGTATTTCTTTATGACAGTAGTTTCTTTAAACCCGCAAACCTGGTACAATATGACACACTTCCAAATCCACCCAGAGTTCTTCGGAGGATCAGTCGAGCGGCGAGGTTGGGGATAGAGGAAATGAGTATATGACTATTTGAATAAAAGTTGGTAGGAAATGCTTCCCAAGTTTTTCTGACTTTCCAAAGGAAGGGAAGCTGCTAACAATGCCATCACATAACGTTTCCCGAAACAAATTTCCACCAGCCAAGTCTTCCAACTATCCTAAAAGTACCGTAGAAGCCACAAAAAGGACAAAAGCGCTGAATTATGCAATGCTATCTCTTCATACCATTGCATATGCTGAGTCGGTAATCATATGCAGCTGCAACTACGGCTGTAAACCAGGTGCGTGGCGCATCAAAAGGAAAATTATATAACGTTGTCGTTTTATCCCTTGAAATATATACCCATGTGTCAAAATGTCCATTGAGCCTGCCAATTTCGCATTGAACATAACTGTGTTTAGGTTCCTGCCCGACATGCTGAAACTCTACCTATCGTATGGTGCTGAACTGAACGTGCTGCCGTTCTGCACGCAGTTCATTCCGATCGAAGTCATTGAGGCCCCTAAATATAAGAGCATCATCTATCATCCATCCATTCTTCCAAAGCATAGGTAAGCTTTCAGAGACTTCTCTCAAAGGCATAACTCAGTATTAGGAGAGTGAATTGGAGACCCGGCGCGAGGAAGTCAGAGGGGCCGGTAAGCGTGCAAATTGACCGAGCTTGTGGCGCGACGTGTGGTAGAAGCGCTAGGCCATCGGGTGGAACACGAAACTTCACCCAGCAGCCGGGTTTACGCCCACGATTTGATGTCATGGGACAAAAGCGCTCTCGCTCCCACACTCTCTCCGCGATTCTAATCCCTCTCCGCGGCGCTCGTTCTCTATCGTCTCGATGTCCGTTTCTCAGGGTCTTGCACAGCTTAGAAGAGAGTAGCATCCATTTCGGCTTCCGGTCGTTGTTCTTTACTTTTTGCTCATTATCGGTACATTTTGAATCGCTAACTTCATTTTCGAGCACAGTAACCATAACGCCGGATGCTAGGCCATGCCTTTAAGTCTCGCAACCGAATCTCAGCTGTTTCAAGAACATTTCGCCTGCCTTTGTATGACATTACTGGCCGCAGAAAGTATAATGATCATTTTTGCTCTTGAACAAACAATATCCTGTTTTTTTTTTCTTTTCAGAGGAGCATCAGCGATAAACTGGACAATAATTGAAGGCGATGAGGAGGCTGGACTGAGTATCTTTTGGGCTGACGATGGCCTCGACACCGGGCCACTTCTGTTGCAGAAGAAGTGTAAAGTCGAGGAGAACGATACGTTGAACACACTCTACACCAGGTTTTTGTATCCAGCTGGTGTTAAAGCGATGGTGAGGCATTTGAAGGTTTTTAGGGGTAGGTAAAGGGATAGCTTGGCCAGATGAGAGTGAGCTGTTGAAGTGTCCCGGTACACATCTCCGATGCGTCGAAAATGATGTAAGCTGCCGGGAGCGGATAAGGCGCCTCAATTTTGGCTGGCTGTTTATTGATACAGCAGAACGGTCTACTCACAAACCTAGCGCTTACTTGGTTTACTAAGGAGGCCCAGAGCGAATGGCGCAAAAAGGGCCAAGGAAGGAGGCAAACAGGGCTAGGTGCTTTTTGAGAATGGACGTTGCGTGTGCATGGCAGTAGATGTAAGCCTTAATTCCATCAAGGCCTTGTGTGCTGAATATGTACCCAGGAATTATCAGTCTGGAGTATCCTTTCTAAAAACCCAAACCCGTACCCGGCTACGTCTAAAACAGCCATTCGACGTTTTAGGATCGCTCGCCTGAAGGGTGACGGAGGAGATGTAGTTGTAGGAGGCGTCACTTTCAACGTGCCCCATCTGGGAGATTCGTATGGAATTACACTCACCCAAGCTGACCTTCCACTGTTCCGGGTCGCGTAGTTGGTCCCAACTGGTTGTGACGGATAAGAAACCTTACCCTAAAACCTTAAAGCGGTTCAGTTTTTGCAAAAAAAGACGGAATACGCGCGCTCATCGGTAATGGAATATTTTCCTATGTTTTTTTTCCTTCGAAACATTTCCTTCTGCGAGCGTTTATTCTACTCGAACTTCACGGCAAAGTAGCAGTGAGCAGCAGCACACAGCGACCTTATCTATAAGATTTCAGGGAACATTAAATCATCCGATCCCAGCATGTTATTGTATAGGTCAGAACACATTCAAATGTGAGTGAGATTTGGAGTGCAAGTAGAATGCAGGGCTCATCCTAGAAAGTAATTGATCGATGCCGGATCCTTGAGCTCTTTCATTTCTTCCACTCGAAAGCCATTATGCAACATACTGAGCATTCCTACATGCGCTTTCTCAGTGTCAGTTCTCAGTTGTTTTGAATCCACGGAACTCTTGGCATGATCCGATAGACTTTTTTAATCCACGGAACTCTTGAAAGTTTCTCCAATTTTTTACGAAAGGTCTTATAAAGTAAAAGGTTGACTTTCAGGCAGAAGCGGTGAATTTGATAGCAGCTGGAAAGGCCCCACGTATTGTTCAACCAACCGAAGGAGCTTCTTACGAACCGTACATCACAGCCAAACCAGAGCTTGCCGAGATCGACTGGAAAAAGACACAGCAGCAATTACACAACTTTATCAGGGGTAACGACAAGGTAACCTTTTGAACCACGTGATACATTTCCGATCAAGCCTAAACAAAAGTATTTTCTTCAAGACAGGACATATTCAAAAGCTAGTTTGGAACCAGAGGGCGAAAAACGTCAAAAATGCACTCATGAACGCTGCTGCTGCCAAAACGCGTGCGGTCGCGTTGCGGCTGCCTGCTCAATTGAATGACCACCCACCATTTCACATAAGTAGCCTTCAAATTTGACTGTTTGATAGCTTTGTTCAATTTTCGTGAAAGCAAAGGAGATACAGTGGCAGTAATTCACCAAGGACCCAGTAGTTGCATAACAAACGCTCGCACCCAAAACTGTCCATCTCTTGCTTCATGTGTGTATCATTCTTATTTATTGGCATAAAAGAGGTAGGAATGAATAAAGATTTCACGCTGAACGTACCATGTTTACAGGATTTATTTTATTCCAGGTGCCGGGAGCATGGGCTATCATGAACGGCGAGAAGGTCACCATGTTCGGAAGCACTTTGTGGAAACGAAGAAAGGTTCCACCCGCCAGAAC